ATCCCTTCACATTTCCCTTAGTATGAAACTTTTCTTTCTGAAAATCCATAACCCCATCGAAATGTGCCCCCATCAAAAATTTAAAAACCCATCAAAATATACCACCCTCAAAAATTTTGATGGCGTAACTAGCACCATCAAATCCCCTTCTGGGCACCTCTGTTGCCGAGGTCGGGAGCACGGTGTTTTTGCTGCTAGAGCCTTTACTGCTGAAGAGCTTAAGGATTCTTTAATTCTTTATGTCAGTCTTGTTCAGATAAAATTCTTCACTGAATTAATTGATTGCCTTAACGATGGCAAACCATATAAGGGTTCCTTAAATAGGCTCCCACCATTTTTGGATAAGGAGGGTTCTCTCAGGATGGGACGCAGATTAAAGTATTCCACAATTGATGAGAGAAGTAAGCACCCGCTGCTAATGCCAAAAGATTCACATTTAGCTGTCTTTTTGTGTGACCATTACAGGTATTCCTTTTACGGTGGACCCCTATTGGTTGCTCCTGTCGCTCATTCATCACCAATTTCGGATCCCTTCTCTGAGAAGACTCGTTAGAAGCCGGATTTAAAATAAATTGCATACCACAAAAATAATGCGAAGCCATAGGCTCTGAAAATGAGTGACTTACTGTCTCTCGCCGACCGAGAGTCGATCCTTTCAGCGAGTTGGAATAGACTATGGCGGCCCCTTCTTTATGAAGATTTGCAGTAAGCGCAATGCTCCTAAGTCGAAATGCTTGTTAGCTCTCTTTATATGCATGTCTACCAAGGCCATCCATCTAAAACTTGTGACGGACATATCTACTCCTTCATTTATTGCCACATTAGACAGATTTATTGCCAGACGTGGTTTGTCTTCGCATATTTATAATGACTGTGGAACAAATTTCGTTGGAACATTTAAGAAGTTGATGTAGCTTTATCAACTTGTTAAGGGCCAGAGCGAACCCATTTCTAACCATTTAAATCGGACGGGAAAAAAGTCGACCTTTACTCCTCCAGCATCTCCACATTTCGGTGGTATTTGGGAGGCAACTATAAAATTAGCAACGAGACACCTTCTTGCCGTTCTCCAGGATCATGATTTAACATATGAGTAATTTTCCGTCCTGTCTGTAATATTAGCAGTCAGCCTTCGGATAACTTTGATTACCTCACCCTATGGCACTTTCTTATAGGTCAACTCCTTCTAACCAGACCGGAACAAGAAGATGCGCGATCAGCGAGATGTTTGGTACATTGCCATACTGATCTAGGCACATCATTTCATCATTTCATACGGATGTGTTATTGGGAGGGAGGCAGTCCAGGCAGCTTGTTGGATAGAGGTTGTAAAGGAATTGACAGCATTGCCAAGGTCGTTTTTTTTTGAGATATAATGAGATCTATTTTGCTGGAAAAGATTCCAGTTAACGGGGCCTCTTATGAATGACGATGAAGAAGTTTAGAGGATGAGTTCTAGAGAAAAATTATGAATTATTGGACTATGGTAAGAGGAAAGTTCATTGAGGTGTGTAATAGAACAATTGGAGGGGACCTAAGCTGTTGTGGATGAAGAAATCAAAGATATCAGGATCACGATTAAGATCTGTGGGTCGGTATGTAGGAGATTTGAGGGAATTGAGGTGGAAACATTGGGGATTGAGCACAGACAACAATGTTCGGCTATGAGAACTAGTGGTTCTTGAACCACACTGTTAATGTTTGGAATTCAACCCCCGAGATAAAGTGCACCCGAGATAAAGTGATGTCTTAAGGAGTCGAGGAGGGAACTGAAATGAGCATTGGATATATATCAGTTAGGAGGGCAATACACTAATTCATGGGGAACCAGAAAGAAGGTTTTGATTATGATAGTAATGGATTTTAGGAAGTCTTGTGCAGGTAATGGGAGTAGGTGATGGGAGAGGGATTGGTGTACAATGACAACAGTACTGGTATATGCTCTTTCATCAGGGTGGTCAGTACGATATGTATTGTGGTATTTTGAAGAGCTGTCTAGTGGTTAATCAAGTATCAGTAACAAGTGCTACATCAACGTTCTTGTCAAGTAACAAAGCAGATAGTTCTTCTGTATGATTTCTAACACAATTTGCATTCCAAAGGAGAATGGATACAGGTTTATGGGAAGTCATTTAAGAACTTCTTAAAGGAGGGATAAAATGTGATACAAGATTGGTGAGAAGTGATGTAAGTAAACTGGTGAGATCTGAGGTATTTGATGGAGGAGGAATGTTAGGAATTTAGTGTTGATAGAAATGTTGAGGATTAGGCGAAATTTGAGTAGTAAGTAGTAAGTTGAGAATTTTGATGTGTTGTTGCCACAGAGACTCACAATTAGTGATTTCATTCTAACCTCCTATTAGGTGTGCAAAATACACTATCTTCTTGTTTCTTCCTTGTTCCGAGATTTCTGATATCTTGATTTGATATTCTTGTATATCTGGCAGTTTTTATAGTTTGTTTAATGTTTTTCAAGGCACAAAGCACAAACTGCAGGATCTCGTTTCTGTTTTGTGCACTCACCAGATTTGTGCTGCTCTCCACATTTTACACAATGTGGCAAATGGCTTAAGTCTTGGTGTGGCCATACACCTGGCAATTATGGCACTGGACGATTTCTCTCTTAGGATATGGCTTCTCTACTATCACACTTGCATAGTACAATCTTCTTATTTTCTATATTTTTTCAATCCCTTGAGATGGCTCTGAATATACAAAAAATAGCGGTAGAGGAACTTTTACTGTAGGCTGTTCTTTACTCTTTCAGAGAATTTAAAATCTGGCATGGTATGAAACCTAAATTTTTCAGTTCTTCTTCTATTGCTTCAGTTGGTGTTTAGGCGTGTAGATTTCTTATAACTACTCTTAAAGGTCGCTCTTGCCGTAATTGATACATATGAAAATCTGCTTTGGTTTCTGTTAGATATTTCACAATTTTTCTATCGGTTTCATCTATATCTGGTGATGTTTTCATGTCCTTTGTTTTGCTAAGACATGAATAGCTTTCAAAACCTGCTATTTTGTTTACTTGAGAACAAAGTAACTGAAATTTTTTTTATATTTTTAACGAATATTGGTGGAGGTTGGGAGTCTCTAGGTATCGAAGTGGACCCATCACCGCTCTATCATTCTGAAGCACCCGATAGGGATTTCGTGTAAATAAAATTAAAGTTGTCTCTTGTGACGATGTACCTGGTTGAGGCTGAGGTTCTTCAAGTGTCTCTTTTGATGATTACCTGCCTGGGTTTCATGTTCTCCAGAGCTAACAGGGGTCACTGGAGATTTTCGAGAAAATTTAAGAGGATTTTGTCTTACTTTTGTCGTATTGAAAAAGAAAAGGAAAAAAACAATATAATTTATTACTGTAAACAGTAAATATCAGTTGTTTTTATGTACTTTTGACCTGTTTTAAATGAATAATCTCAGAGATTCTGTTGAAAAACAAGCAAATTCTAAAAGCCAAAATGGAAACACAACCTTTCGCATCAGCTAATTGATCAGTAAAAGTAAACGTAAAGTTTAATATGCCAATTAAAATTTACAAAAGACTGAAATAAACTATAATATATTTGTGATGAAATGAAAATGATTAACTATAGTTATAATTTAAGGAATGGTTAGTTGAGGGAGGGGGAGGGAGCGATCAACGATCACACACTGTGATTTTGTAATGTTTATTTTTTGGCTACGTTTAGATCTACGTTGTACCTTTTCTTCAGGGCTATATATCTGACAATGGCGAAAGACTCAAGGACACTCACTTGTCAATAGTTTACTCCATCCTTCCCGACTAACTATTCCTTAAATTATAAAATATAATATACTTTATATACTTTGGGCGGATGCATTAAACATTTCAATGGATTATTATTTTATTTGTTAAGTTCAATACAATCTAATATCAGGAACATACTAAATTCTTAAATGCAATGAACAAAAATGTAAATCTTAAATGTAAAAATGAATTATATATACATTATAATAACAAGAGAGGAGCATTACCCACAATTATAGGAATTAACTATTTATTAACTACATTTAAAATATCAACTCTTTTAATATTCAGTCTTAACATATCTCTTAGGTTTTGAGAATAATTCCAAAACACAATATTAATAAATATTGCACATAATTTATAAAATATGTATATACCAAAGCAATGATTTTATAACAGTGAAATTTTGAAATACAATTATAACTACTGGATCTTAGATAAAATAACAGTCCAAGTGATACATCTCATTTATTATAATTTATTTAATTTAACATATTAAATTAATATATTAAATTTTTTATTTAATTTAACATATTAAATTAATATATTTTATTTTTAAAAAGAGGAAAATAAATTAAATTAACTAAAACTTCACAATATATTTTACATAGAAATAATAATTCAATTTAATTTATTTAAAATAATAATAAGTTATAAGTTATGTTTTCACAGCATTTAACATATTCAGGCTTTGAACAAAATTAAGTCATTTTAAGAAATTGCATAAAAGTAGATACACACTGGTTCATTTTCAACAAAAATATTATAAATGAGAATAAATCTGTATATATGAGACTTGGTAACATTAAACACTTTTTATAAAAATAAATATTATAAAAATCACAGAAGTGAAAACATTATTTACAACTTATTAAATATTCATAAAGTTGCACAATGAAGAATAGTTCAATAACACAACAAATCATAATTAATGAATTATAGATAATTTTATCAATACCGAATAATTAAAACTGATATATAAACATAATACTAGATTCACTATAAAATTAACATTTTATTGTTGATTAAATATCAATCAGTCCATTATACATATCGTCTGAAAAATTGGAATGTAGAAACAATATTCAGCTTAATCTTTGTTCCTTTTTCAACAATGGAATATGTATAATGCTAATTTTCATAAGGCATAACATTAAAAATTTAAAGTGGGATTGAAAAATAAACCATCAACAAACTCCACCAAATTGAAATTTTCAATTGAATTATTTTTAATATATAAAATAACATATGGAATAAATTATTTAATTAAAGCACAAGTAAATAAATTAACAACAAACTACAAAACATGTTCACAGTATTGTGCCATCATATCTCAGATTTTAAAATAACCTGTATATATATAGTTTTAAACAGATAAATTGAAAAAGAAAATACCCAAATCCTATAATAAAAAAATATTGTCATATATCTGAATAAATAAATAATTCTTTGATGTTGTTAATCACAAATCAATATCTTTCAAATGATGATAAAATATTTGGAATATTCAACTTGAGTTAATCAAATAATTTTATACTGTCAGAGAAAGACCTCATCATTATGATCAGCACTGCTCAGAAGTTAATGACATCTGTAAAAACAATTTAAAACATTTTAATTTAGCAATAGAAAATAATTTATGCAAATAACATTAAAGTAAAAGATCGATAGCCCTGGAGCCAGGACCAAAAAAAATGGACCTCATCGCAGGCAAAGGTTTGAATGTAAATGTCAAAATTAAAGCAATTATATAAAACATCATGTATGTATTCAGAAATTTTTCAGAAAAACTTAACTTTCGTATTTTCGTATTTTTCGTTACTCAACTGCTAACATTCTTTATGTAAACGCATATATATATATATATATAATATATATATATATATATATATATATATATATATATATATATATATATATATAAGTTATGGTTAGATGTAAGTTTATATAAGAGTTAATCCTAGTCAATAGTTGTAAACAAACCGTAATGCTATATATATAGCATTACGGAGAGAATAAAGTCAGTCTTATTTGAGCAACCACGCGTTTCATTTCAAACCTCTTCTTTCTTTCTTTTTTTTATCTTTCCTAGTTCGAACCGACGTAAGTGGTGCCGAAACCCGGGAATCTTAAAAAGTTTAATTTTGTAGTTGTTTTTTCGTTTTTTTTTTTTTTTTTCACGTCGTGGAGATAAATAAAAAACAGGATGCCGAACGGAGTAGGTCAACCGCCAGTACGTCCACCACCACCAGTACCGCCTACAGCACAGGTAGCACAACCGACTGCGGCACCAGCGGCACCGGCAGCGTTTCCTACGTTGGCAGAAGCGTTAGCGAGGGACTTTCCTCCGCTACCTACGGAGACGTTAGCGTCAGCACATGCGACGACGCTGGAATGGCTGAAGGTTAGAACGGCGACATCGCAGGACCTGAGGAGAGCTATATCTGACCTGGAAAGATTTGATGGAGGAACAGGTGAGTTGAACCACTTTCTAAAGGGAGGCGACCGGGTGATATCGCGTATAGCGGCCAAAGAAGGGGAAAACTTGATAGATCCGCTGGATGCCAACGCATTGAGGGCAGCCTTGGTATGCCGGGTTAAAAGGAGTGTGCTGAACATGATCCAGGCGGATGAAGACACCCCATGGAGCACCGTGAAGGACAGGCTGAAGAAGGCATTTGGAGGGGGCCGTTGGGCCCCAGAAGAAGACATCTTACAGATGTTCCGAGAGAAGAAACAGCCGTATCAGTCCAACGGACAATATGCAGCAAACCTGTTGGCACGATTCAACAATGTAACGGAGAAGACGAGGGAAGTAGCGGATGCGGTGGAAACGGGAGCAAGAATGGCGTTCTTGGCAACCATCCTTAAAGTACAACTGGGTAGAGACACGGGAAAGAAGGATGGACTACCTAGAGACAAGGGTTTTGTAGAGTGTGCCCAGGAAATGATTGATGCAAGCGCGCGGGAGGAAGAAGCAGCCAGGGGAGAAGAGGAGAATGAGAACGGGTGGAACCGAGTATCGTACAGGAGAGCGGAACCCGGTAGATTTAGAACGAGACAGGAAGGCTGGAAGAAAAGAGGAGGAGAAGTTAGCGCAAGAGAAAGAACGGCGATAAGGGAGAAAAAGCCAGGGAAGGAGAGAAGGAAATGGACAAAGGAGGACAGGAGATGCCACGGGTGCGGAAAGATAGGTCACCTAGTGGCGAATTGCCCGCGAACCCGATGTTTCGAATGCGGAACTGAGGGGCATATTGCTAGACAATGCCCGTATATGAGTAGACGGGGGGAAGTGGGCCGAGATGAGCCGATGGAGGTGAACGCCCAGAGATTGTGGAGGAAGAGAGGAGCGGCATCGGAGTCGGACGATTCGTCGGGAACATCTGGAACCGAGGAGGAGGAGCCGGTGGTGAGAGCAGCTCGAGGAGGCAGAATCAGCAGAAAGAGTGGAGAAGGGGGAGCCGTCGCGGACAGGAGAGGAAGATCAGACGAATGAGGAGAGGAGCAGAGGGGAGGCAGCCACGCGGTAGTAAATAATATTGGAGGTGAGTGCGTTGGTTTGCCAATTATAAGTGTTGTGGGGAAGGGAAAGTGTCTGGTGGATACGGGAAGTTCGAATACAATAGTATCTAGGCAGATGTTGGAGGAGTTGTGTAAAGGAGAGAGGATACCGGGAATAAAAAAATGTACGTGTAGGTTGATCACTTTGGGTGGTCCATGTAGGATAGAAGGGGAAGTAGAGTTAGATTTAGACAAATGGATCCCAGGAAGTGGGAAGTTGAGGGTTCATGTAGTAGAGAATATGCCGAGAGAATATGGGGGTATAATAGGATGTGACCTATTGAGTAGAGTGAGACCAAGAATAGACTACAGGGAACAGGTTGGAGGGTGCGAATGGGAGGAAAGAGGTACCGGTGTAAGAAAGGGAGAGTGGGAGGAAAAGGGAACATTGGGGCAATAGAACAAGCGGAACATTGGGTCCAAAGGATAAAGAGGGAATACGCGGATATTTTTTTTAAAGAGGGGGAGGTGTTGAGCGCAACGGGGAGGACAGCACATGAGATTCCGTTAAAACAGGAAAAGGTGACGTACGTGAAGGAGCGACGTTACCCGCAGGCTTTACGTCGCCATATCAAGGAGGAGCTCGAAAGCTTGAAGAAGCAGGGCATCATCGTGGACAGCACGTCACCGTACAATAGTCCTCTGTGGGCGGTGAAGAAAAAGACGTCGTCGGGAGAGCAGAAGTACAGGGTGGTGGTAGTCTTCAGAAAGCTCAATGACAACACCCTAGACGAGAAGTATCCGCTTCCGCGATTCGATGATATTATTGACAGGCTTAGTGGGGCAACCATTTTTAGTACTCTGGATTTAAAGGCGGGCTACCACCAAATTCGTATGAACCCTAGGGACCAACACAAAACGGCGTTTTCGTTCGAGAGGGGGCATTACGAGTTTACTCGCATGCCATTTGGACTAAAGAACGCTCCCATAACTTTCCAGAGGTTTATGGACGAATTCTTGAGAGGATTAGACGAAGAATTCTGTCAAGTCTACATGGATGATCTCTTGGTCTTTAGTAAGGATGAAGAGGAGCACGTCGATCATTTAGGGCGCGTATTCGACAGATTAAGGCAGTTTGGGCTGAAGTTGTCGGCGGAAAAATCGATTCTGGGACAGGACCAGATAACATTTCTGGGACATTCCATTTCAAAGGAGGGGATCAGGCCCGATAAACAGAAGGTCGAGGCGATACAAAATATGGCGATGCCCAGGGATGTAAAAGGGATCCGCAGATTATTGGGAACACTCAACTATTACCGTCGGTTCGTGCCGGAAATGGCGGAGTATTTAGCACCTCTTAATAATCTTCTGAAGAAAGGCCGGAAGATAATAATAACGTCAGAGATAGAGGACAACGTAAGGAAGTGCATGGCGCGGTTACAGGATAAGCCGGTACTCGCTTTCCCCGATTTTGCGAAGATGTTTATTGTCACTACAGATGCGAGTGAGTATGCGTTGGGGGCAGTACTTGCTCAAGAGGGAACTAAGGGGGAACAGCCAGTAGCGTATGCGAGTCGGCGGCTTACAGATGCGGAAACGCGATATAGCGCCTTGGAAAGGGAACTCTTGGCCATTGTATGGGCGGTAGGACACTTTAGGCCGTATATTTTTGGCAGAAAATTTAGGGTGCATACCGATCACAGACCGTTGCAATGGGTTGGTAATTTAAAGGAATCATCGGCCAGGGTCACTCGGTGGAAACAATTTTTAAGCCAGTACAATATGGAGGTCATATATAAGCCAGGTAAAGACAACGTGGTAGCGGACTGGCTGTCCAGAGCCATAATGATAAATGCTATCGAGGAGGAAGAAGGAGAGTCGTCGCGGGACGTGCGGCAGTTTTTGAGAGCGTGGACACCAGAAGGGGAAGGGGAACCAGGGAATGTGGAAGCAGAGGGATCGAGAGGAGAAGAGAGCTCAGTGGAAGAAAGGCCTACAGACATCGAGGAATGCGAAGAGATCATCAATGATAAGCGACGACAGGTAATTTGGAAGACCAGAACGTCGGGACTCATGAAGATTGACTTCAGTAAGTATGGAAGGAAGAAGGTGAACACCATTTGGTCCCAACCAGGGGTGAAAGAGGAACAAATTTGTAAGGCTTTGCACGACGCCTCGGAGCCGGGAAAGGTTCACCACCTGTATGTGGGGAATGCAACCATCTGGGAAAAAATCAAGAAACTCTGGAGATCAGAAAAAATAGGCATCGACAGATCGTTTATCAGGTGTAAATACTTAGTCGAAACGGTGACGGACAAGGAGCAGCAGAGGGAGGTAACACTGGCACACCACCAGGGCAAGACCAACCATCGGGGGGAACAAGAGACGTTTCAAGCGTTGCGCAGAAGGTATTTCTGGGATGGCATGAGGAAGACAATTTCAGAAATCATTGGGAGATGCGAAGTGTGCGCGCGCACTAAATACGATAGACGGCCACCTCAAGGATTACAGGAGGAAACCCCTACGGGAGACATGCCATTGAAAGATGTGCAAGTCGATACTTTTACCTGGAGGGGGTTTAAGTGGATTACGATGATCGACCTCTTCAGCAAGGTAGCGATGACACATCAAGTACGAGATAAGTTGTCGGAGGCGGTTGTGGGGGCTCTACAAACGTGGGCCCAGTTCTACGGAGTGCCTGATCGCATAACGTCGGACGGAGGGAGGGAGTTCGACAACAGTACCGTACGTGAGGAGGTTAAACGTTTAGATATAGATTGGCACTTTAATACTCCGGGACATACAAAGGGCAGAGGAAATATCGAGAGGTTGCACAGCACGTTAAGCGACCACCTACGTATTTATCAAGGGGAGCAGGGATTGGAAGGGGATGTAGCCATGAAAAGAGCAGTAGCGGCCTATAACCATTCGATCCACTCCGTTACAGGGTTTTCTCCGGTCGAGGTATTGTTTGGAGTAAATATACGGCGACGGGATTGGATGGAAACACTTACGGATGAAACACAAGCTCAACGGATCACTTGTAACAGGCAGAGATAAAGAAGGTGTGGGAAACAACGAGAGCGAAAA